TATCTTCTTTCCTAATTGATTCTCTACTTCATGCTTAAACTCTTTTAACTTTTCAAAAGTTTTTGATTTATGCTTGATTAAGTAGATATACCCATATCTACTATAATCATCAGTAAACGTCACAGAGTAGAGATTAGCATCCCTTATGACAGATTTGAAAGGACCACATAACTTAGTATGAATGAGTTCGAAAAAATACTCACCTCTTTCACAAGTACTAGTGAAAGGTGATTTAGTCATCTTGCCCAACAAACAAGATTCACATTCATCGTCTGATTTTAGGTAAAATGATTCCAACACTTTATCCTTTTGGAGTTGGGCGATGCGTTTCTTGTTGATGTGCCCAAGATTACAATTCCATAAGCATGCCTTGTTTAAATCATTAGAAAAATCAATACTATAAAAATTATTTCCAAGTTCATTCAGACAAACAATAGTCTCGTACACACCATCACAAGGATAAGGTTTGAAAAAAAAAGCACCATTACGATAAACAAAAATTATACCATCATTATTATCAAAACCATACGATATCCTTGTCTAAATAAAGCATGAAATGAAATTATGTTCCTTGTCACTTGTGACAAATCATAAAAAAAATTTAAATCAACCATAACCACTATCAAACATAAGCTCATAAGTCCAAAACCTGGTAACAACCGAATTTCTCCTATTCTCCATGATCAGGTTCAACAATGCTCAACCTCTTCACTTTCCTTTAGTCCCTGCAGATCATAACAAATATATAAACCACGTCCCGTATCTAGGATCAATGAATTTGAAATACAACTGTTATTGATTTGGATAGAGTACGTACCAAATGAAGAGCCAAACACCTTAGCCTTAGCTTCTATCACTTCTTGTAGGTATTTGGGGCAGCTACTTCTCCAATGGCCTTTCTGGCCACAATGAAAGCAAACGACTTCTTTCGGGTCTGCAATAGGAGGAGTATCAAAGTTGGGCTTTCTCTTTGACCCACTGGACTCTCCAATGCGGACTTTCCCTTTCCACGTGGGTTAGGAATGATCCTTTCTCTTCTTACCCTTTCCTTGTCGGATAGCCATGACTGGGGCAGCTGCAATACTGTTGGAATGAGACTTCTTCATTCCTGCTTCAGCTGTTTGCAATAGATTGTGAAGCCTTATCAATATGGTCCCAGTATTGTTCAAATGATAGGTCAAGATGAACTGATCATAACTACTAGGCAAGGAGTTGAGCATCATGTCAATGGCAATCTCCTTGTAGAAGTTCACATTGAGCTTTTCCAATCTTTCCATGTGTCTTTGCATCTTTTCAACACGAGCATACACATATTCCTCATCTTTCCATTTGCACACCATAAGTTTCTTGCTTTCTTGAGAAACGTCTTGGAAAGAGCCAAGTTCATGTCATAGGGCCAATAGTTCTCATTGGTCTTTTGGAGATCAGGTGCCATGGTTGCAATTATAATGCAAGCGACCTTTGTAGCGTCATCAACATGTTGTTATATTCAGCCAATTCCTCGGGAGTAGAAAATTCTTTGTCAATTTCTGGGATTGAATTCTTGAGGACATATTATTTGTTCTCGTATCTTAATGTCATCTTCAAATTACGTAACCAACCCATGTAGTTAGGACCAATGAACTTGTCTTTGAGAGGATAGACAAGAGAGTAAACTTATGAGTGGTTGGAGGAGGAGGAGGAAGATCACCATTTCCAGACATCCAAAACAAGAGAAAAGATTTTAGTTAGTTGATTCATTTCTTTAATATTTTAACCCAAATTATTATTCAAGGCTAGGATCCATAAATACAATTCGAAATTATGAAGAAGGGTGTCATAATCTAATTGAGAATATATTTTAGGTAGGTAAAGAATTTTACTAATTTCAATCTAATATGAAATTCCTAGATCATTTGATACTCATTAAACTATTCGATGGCATGTTTAATCTCTGATTATGCTCTTTAATTTGTGATTGGGATGCCGAAGATCACAAATAAGATGTGAATAACCATGCAAACCTGCGTGACATGCTCGAGGTCATTTATGATCTCGCATTGATGTGTCGGTTAACCACACACACTCCATAAACAACCATACATACGAGTATGTCCATCATTTGATCTTTGTAGTCCTACATTAGTGTGCCGATTAAGCACACACGCTTCACTAACGACTTGCAAAAAAACGATGTACATTTTCATGGATTTGCATACAATTTCACATTTTTCCTAAAGTAACTTGAGTGATATCTTAGAAAAAGTTCTATTCGTTTATACGTTATACTTTTAATGTAATTATGTCCTATCAAACCCGTTCGGCTAACGACCGTCCACCACACAAAGAAGCGGTCGGTGAAAAGGACACTCATTCAACGGTCATTTTATAGGCCGTTTTCTTATACCTCTATTATAGTGTGGCTTCGTGAATGATGTCTACTATTGATTCGAATGATTTTTAATGATACATATAGTAATATACTCTTATACATATGTATAGGGTGTATTTTAAAACTTTTTCAAAACACAAGGTTTAATGCGTCACACCCAAAACTCAGAAAACCCTAGGATTAAAGGAGAGAGGGGAGAGGATGGAGAATTTCAGAATTCTCTCGTGTGTTAAGGTTAGGCCGAAAATACCAAGGGTAAATCCCTTTATGTAGTTGCATAATAATCCCAGAAAACCTAGATTTGAACTTAAAATAATAATATTTCAAATCAGTAATTATCTACTTTATATTTATCACTAGGTGTGAATCCCGTGTACTACACGGATTGTTTAAAAAAAATTATATATGAAGATATAAACTTTAAATATTTTTTAAAGAAAACATTAAATATCAGTAAAAAAACAACAAAGTATGATTATTTTTTTTATATAAGACCATTTTGCCTAAAATTACAATGAACTTAAAAAAAACATGTCAATTTTGAATTATATATATTGAAGGAAACATATTAAAATTTGAAAATATAGAGAAACAAATTAATGACACATTAATTACTTTTTATAACCTAAAAATTAGATAGTTAATTAAGAAAATCAAAAATTACCACAAAATGACAAGTGAAAATTAATTTCTAAGAATTAACCACAAAATTACATGTGTCCAAATGCATAAGAAATTGATAAGTGGCAAAAAGTTCTTTATTTATTAGGGAGGACTTGGAGGCTTCCAGAAGCTCTATCAAGAGCCTCCAAAACCGTCCAAGGCTAGGAGGATTCTAGATCCTCTCTTTTATCCAACTATTGAACAATTACAACTCATCCCTTGTACCTTTAATTAATTTTAATTAACCAAGAAGTAATTCTAAATTAATTCTGATTAATCATCAATTAATTATTTTTTATAATTAATATATTAATCATATGATATATCCATAATCATTTATCTCTCTCCTCTGATCAATCCAAGTCATTCCTGGTTATGATGGCAACCCATAAAGGACTTTACTTTTATTCATCAATATCATACTAATTTAGTTAGGACCTTAGACACTTTAATCCAACATTAATTAAATGATAATTTTCAGAAAAGTCCTAATATTTTGGTTATTGGTTTAAATATGTTATTTTTCAGAAAAGTCTCAATAATTTGACCAAAAAAACGAAAGATGATAGGATACCGGCTAAATCTACGAAACCGGCCAAAAATAGTTTTTTTTTCGAAGTTTTAGCCGATATTCTGTAAACAAAATTTAGCTTATGACATTTTTATATATTTAACTAAAATATTAGGACTTTACTGAAGATATCATAAAGTTTATTTTAGCAAAGGTTGACGACTTTTTAGTTAAAAACAGAGGCATGAACATTATATTGAAATATTTTGTTCTTGGTGAATATCAAGTAGACAAGTAGAGATGGTAACATGCTTGGGCCAAACTGAGTCGATAAAAGACTACCAAAAAAAAACCTATATTTTTTTTTTTCTGGTTTAATCATTTAATTTTTATTGGTGCTAAAAAAACCATCAATTTTTAGATAACAATTTTATTGCGGTCGCTATGACCTGCATTCGTGCTAAAAAACTATTAATTTTCATTTTTTGCTAAGAAATCTACCCATAAATTGGTGGTTAAATTGAATTTTGGGGAAAATATAGTGTTTTTTTTTTGTAATTAAAACCGCCTCTAATAGGTAACAGTGATCGTGTTGCAACATTTTACTAAAAACTGATGGTTTTTTCGAAACTTTTTTAAAAATTGGTTGTTAAACCGGAATTTTAGAAAAATATAATATTGTTTCGTCATTTTCCCTAGAAACAAAGCTAGCTAGAGGCTAGTAAAAAGAAAATATAAGGCTATACGGTGTGGGGTGCGGTTTGGAACTGCGATGCAGCCACGTGGACCGCGAACACCTCCCCAAGGGTGCGGTTTCGTGCGGCCAAAACCGCAGTGCGGCTATAGAAGACCGCGTAATCTGATTGGCTGGGTGCTTTCTTCCATGTTTGACCGTTGAACGGTCAAGATTCGTGTAATTTTTTTTTTAACCATTACTCCATATATATATATATATATATATTATATATATATATATATATATATATATATATATATATATATATATATATATATATATATATATATAGGGCTAATGGCACAAAAACCCTCAAATTTGCATAAAATTGATGGATTTGCCCAAAGTTCAAATTTAGGTCCATTTTTGCCTTAAACTTGCATTTAATGTGTCGTTTTTGCCAAGTAGCCGGTTTCCCTTTAATCAACCGGTTACCACTTGCTTAGGTGGAAGGCTAATTAAACGTCGTTTGGAAAAATCTCCAATTCCATTACATACGTTAAACTGTCGCATCTCATCTCCCTCTATAACCCGATCACTCATCACCTTTTCCCATTTCATCGACTGTGTACACAGAGAAAAAAAAAGGGTTTTCTTGGAGACGATTAGGTTAAAAGTGTTCTTCAACATTTCTCCGAAAGGTAAGGTTTTTACAGGTTGACTGAAATTACGTTTACATTTAACATTTCTTGAAATGTGTTCCTAAAGTTAGTGTGTTGATGCAGGAAGGTGTAATGGCTTCATCAGACGATGGGTACGCTGACCCCTTTGCTGGCATACATGAGCCATTTGCTGGCTTCAGTGAAATGGATTTTGAACTCCACGACATTTACATGGACCACGAACCAGAGGAAGAATTTGTGTCCTCACTTGATAAATGTAAGGATATATTCCTAAATGTTCTATTAAGTGATGAAAACCTACGAAATTCTAGTATGGCAGATGAAATCAGAGCACAAGTGTACCATGCTACCGATTGGCAGAGTGATGAAGATGAACAGGAGGTATTGAAAAACAACTATAGAATTCATGACCCAACCATCAAGTGGGACAAGATGGTACCAAAGCTTGGTGACATCTTTGAATCCCCTACCCAACTGAAGTTTTGTGTCACCAATTATGCAGTCTCACATGGCTATAGAATATACTTTGAAAAATGTGATAGTAAAAGAATTGTAGCTAGATGTGGCAATAGGAAGGAAGAGAATAAATGCCCTTTCAGAATTTATGCTACATGGATGTACAAAGAAAGATCTTTTCAGATCAAAGCTATGAATGGTGACCATAAATGTTCGAGGCAGTTTAAGTTTGGATCCATTGTGTCCCCTGAATGGATTGGAAGACATTATGTGACTGAAATTGCAAATAAGCCAAAGATGAAACTTCAGGAAATGATTGATGACATCAGACAAAGGTATAGGTGTGTGGTATCTATAGGACAGGTTAGAAGGGAAAGGAAATGGGCCAAAAATTTAATAGAAGGTAAACTCACTGAGCATTATGCAAGGATATGTGATTATGCCCATGAATTGTTAAGGTCAAACCCGGGGTCCACATGTCAAGTTGGTGTAACCATTGATCACAATGCTTGAAGAAATAAGGATATACATCATGGATAGGTTTGCTCACATGATTAAGGAAAGCACTAAATGGAATACCCGTATATGTCCAGCAGTGTTAAAGAAGATGAAGCTTTTTGGGAAGAACATGAGGTAACACTTTAACATGTAACTTTTCTTTTAATTTCATTAGGTAACACTTTAACATGTAACTTGTGGATGTAGGTTTTGGTTAATAATTCATAGTCAACAACATGTGTTTGAAGCAAGGAGAGGATGTGATAGCTACATGGTGGATTTAGATGGAAAGCATTGTACCTGCAGGTTATGGGATCTGGCTGGGATCCCATGTGTTCAAGTCATTGCAACTATCAACTATATCCATCAAACACCTGATGAGTATATTGATGACATGTTTTCCAAGGAACAATTCCTTAAGTGTTACTCTGCTAACATTAGTCCAGTAAATGGTTCAAATCTATGGCCTCAAACTGAATTCATAAAGCCATTGCCACTAGTGTCAAGGAGAATGCCTGGTAGGCCAAAGGTCAATAGAAGAAGACATGTAACTGAAAATGATGGAAGAGTACACACCCCAAGAACTGTAAGGTGTGGTAAGTGCTTTGAGTATGGCCATAACCAGAAGGGATGCAAGAATGCAACCAGGGAACCTGTCCCTATGCCACCAAAGAAGAAAGGAAGGCCAAGGAAGGAACAATGTGAACCCAGTCAAGCAGCATGTGATAGGTCTGAGAGGCAGGAACCTGTCCCTATGCCACCAAAGAAGAAAGGAAGGCCTAGGAAGGAACAATTTGAACCCAGTCAAGCATCATGTGATAGGTCTTACAGGTATTGAGGATGTTGAACCTGACGTGACAAAAACACTTGATGAGGTTGAAGATGCAATGGATGCTATTCTTACAGGTATTGATCAAAAAAGTCAATCTGAGAATGAGGATAATCCTGAACCTGAATTCACTGAAGGAAATGCCATTAGTGCAATTCCATTCATGCAATTCCATTAATACCATTAGTGCAACATTCAGCCGTATGCAAAGTGAGATAGCAATTAACTACCATTAATAACATTACCATAAATACCCTTAATACATTAGTGCAATTCCATTCATGCAAAGTTTACTTTCATTGTGAATGTAACCAAGGGTATTTTAGTACAATTCCTTTTATGCAATGTACTTTCATTGTACTTCCATTCATGCAACATATACATGAGATGGCAATTAACTACCATTAGTAACATTACCATTAATACCCTTAATACATTACAAACATGTAACATTCAGCCGTTCAAAAAAAAACATTACAAAGATGTAACAATTCTTGATTATGCTTAATATATTACTAATACAGGAAAAACCAACAAAACTATATCTTAATAACCACTATTCCTAGCATCAGCGATATAACCACTAACAACCCTATGATCACTTCTAACAATGGCTTGATCTCCTCTGTATGACACATCTCCATATTTTAACCTAGTTCTTCATCCGCCCATTTGAAAAAACCACAGTTGCCTCCTTCCACCTACAACAAAAAAAAATTAGGGTTCTATTACATACGTTCCTCTTTGGGAAGTTAGAGCAGCCCTAAAATTTTAGGGAGAAATTAGTACAAAAATAAATAGATTTTTACCTGATAATTAGGGTAGCCCCAAAATTTTCGTCCTGGGTTATCAGGTGTTCGTGAGACTGATACACCACAAACATCACCACAGTCGCATCTTATTACCTTCTTGTTCCTCATTCTTGTACCACCATTAAAGCTTGATCTTGAAGACGAAGTTGTCATTTTTCCGTTGTAGTCTGTGACTAACTGTGGGGGTCGAAGGGATCAATTGCACACGAGGATGTTTGTGAATGAGTTATTAAATGATAAATGCCAAGTATCTTCAAGTGGTAACCGGTTGATTAAAGGGAAACCGGCTACTTGGCAAAAACGACACATTAAATGCAAGTTTAAGGCAAAAATGGACCTAAATTTGAACTTTGGGCAAATCCGCCAATTTTGTGCAAATTTGAGAGTATTTGTGCCATTAGCCCATATATATATATATATATATATATATATATATATATATATATATATATATATATATATATATATATATATATATATATATATGTTACCATTTTAACCATTTACACCACATTCACACTACCTTTACACAAATATTTACACAATCTTTTCATCCAATTTTTTTTGAAAAATGTCTTCTTCCAAAAGGCCTAGCAAAGAAAAAACATCAGTCAGAAACACCAACACCCCAATACCTACATTTGATCAACCGATTTTCTCACATCCGTATTACCACTACGACGGTATGCTTCCGTATTTTCCACAACGACCAGCGCAACTACTACCACAAACACCACCACTACCACAACCCGACCCGTTTGGTGTGTTTTTCCACACAACCACTACCACAACCCGTTTGGTGTTTTTTTTTTTTTTTTTTAAAGTTGTAGGTTTTATGTTTCTAATTTGTTTTTCTAATTTTTTAGGTTTTTTTAATTAATGTATGGTATTTGTGTTTTTAATTAATGAAATATTATCTTTTTAAAATTATGTTTTTTATTTAAAAAAGAAGTTTTATTAAATTAAAATAGTTTAAAAAAAACAAAAAATAAAAAAGAAAATAAAAGTGTGGCATCACTCCCTTGGTGTGGCAAGAGACCACACTTGTGTGGTAAAAAATGACGTGACGCTTATGTGGCGGGGGAGGGAGTGCGGTTTCGGTGGCACCACTCCCTCCAGCCTAAGTATGATGAACGGGTTTTTCATCCACTTAATCTAGTTGATTCTAGAATTAATTTATCTAGAACTAAACCAATTAAAAAAAAAGAAACAATGAAATCAAATAACAACTCTCTTTTATCCGTTTCGTTTCCGAAAACCTGCTCATTCCGATAAATGCACAGCACCATATGACCATATCAATGTTAAGCAACCAATAGTTTTTTGTGTGTTATAAATAGTCTATGTATCAAATATCATTGTAAGAACTATATTTTAAATATTAATATATCTTATAAATTATATTATTTATGATGTAATCACTTAAATCACTTGAGCCTTTTTTTTTTCAACAGCACACTTGAATCGTATAATTAAGTATAATTATCAATGATATTTTTCTATCTTATATTAACATTCTATCCAGGGTCGGTCCAAATATATAGTAAGTCTAAAACGAAAAGAAAAAAATGGGCCACTAAAGCCATAAATATTATAAAATTAAATTGAAAATAGACACAACGTTATAAAATTCACTATTAATATTAAAAAACACAAATATGATCAAAACATTACAAAAACAAGTAATTTTTAGAAAAATATTTCTCTTAATATTTTTAGATAAGTTAGTTTTTTCTCTATATAATTATACCATATACTCTAGGAATTTTGGGCCTCTTGGAAACATGGACCCTGGACGACCATCCGGATTGCCCACCGTCAGGGCTGGTCCGATTCTACCGATAAAATACATAGTTTATTAACCAGTTTTCATATACGCGATTCGGAATTATGTTTGTTTTTAGTTGTTTCTTAAATTTTAGTAAAATAAATTTAAAAAATAAGCAAAATAGTTCAATTATTAAGTGTTAGCATGCCATTGGAAATATGTGCACATACAATCATGGTGTTAATTTTCATTAAATTCATCATATTGTTATTGAAAATACTTGTAATACATTTTTGAACTATTGAGAAAAAAATTGAAACAACTATTAGACAGGTTAGTGATGGCTTTTATATTTGACTAATTATATATAAATATTTTATATTGCAAAAAAACCCGAAAAATTCAATGCATTAGAAACATATATATGACATTTTATGGAGGGGTTCAAGTTGTTCAACATCCACTTCTATCCTAATTTGTATTTGCTATTTGCTCTAGATGGCTTTTATTCTTTTAATATATAAATATCGTTTCAAAAAATAATTGTTTATAACCGATTTAAGTTGTTATTTTATTTGAAAGACATCAAATTGTAAATGGTTTAACTCAAAATGAAACATGATAACCAATATCATATTGGTCTAAAATATATTGTAATGCATACAATATATTTTATAGAATTATTGAAACATTTAGGATTTATCATAATTAATAAGTATTATGAAGGATAGTTACTTGGGGTATTTTTCATAGAGTTTGGGTTGTATATTTGGATTTGGTGTTGTTTCATTTGTTCTTTGTAGATGATGTGTTTTTCTCGAGGAATGATCCCTAGGAAATACTAGGAACATCTCGTGGGTCCTTTGTTGTTTCCATCTTGTTTAGGGATTAAAACTCAACTTCGCCAAAAGTAATTTGAGAAGAGTGTTGAAGTGGCCGTTTCTTTTGAGGAGATTTTGTCTATGACGACCATTTTGGATCGTAGAGGGGAAAAATTATTGTTCTTATATTTTGATCTTCCGGTTGGATGTAACATGTCTAGAGTGGATGAGTGCAAGTTCGATATTGATGGATTTGCTAAAAAGCTATTTAGTTGAAAAGTGAAAGCCTTGTCTATGGGGGTGTAACTTGTTAATAACGGTGCTTGGGAGCTTGACAAATTATATATATATATATATATATATATATATATATATATATATATATAATATATATATATATATATATATATATATATATATATATAGCATGAGGTTCAATAGAGAACCATAATTAACCAATGAACCAATCTTTTTTTCAATTTTTAGAACTTATTTTTTATCAAAAAAAAAAAACTAAAAATACAGAAATTAATAACTTTTTATCATTTTTTCCAATGATATCAAATTCGAAAAAAAAAATTTCGTCAAATTCACAATGTGAATCTTTGAAAATTCACAATGTAAATCTAAATTCATACGGTGAATCCGAAAAATATATTTAACATTCACAATGTTATGTTATGAATTTAGATATTTTTAGTTTTTTTTTTCGATAAAGAATAAGCTCTAGAACTTGAAAAAAAAAATTTTGGTTCCTTGGAGAACCAATAATTATGGTTCTCTATTAAACTTTTCCATATATATATATATATATATATATATATATATATATATATATATATATATATATATATATATATATATATGTTTAGGTTCTATGGAAAACAAGAAACCCTAAAAATCCTAAAAATACATAAAAAAAAATACTTAGATATCACAAATTTTTTTTTTTTTTTGATTTTATATTATGAGTTTTAGCAACTTTTTATGTATTTTCGTTGAATTTTTTTTTTTGAAAAAAAACCAAAAAAAATCGTTTTTTTTCAGCGAATTTCTAAAAAAACCTGCGATTTTTTAGTATATAAATTCAAAAAAAAAGATTTGTGATGTCTAAGTATTTTTTTATGCATTTTAATAATTTTTAGGGTCCTTTTTAGGGTTTTTTGTTTTTCACATATATATATATATATATATATATATATATATATATATATAATCCAAATCCCCCTTATGAACAGTTTTATGTTCTGATTGGTTGATTTTTTTTCTTTTTCATTTGGTGGGTTTTCTTTAATTTTTTTTTTCTTTTTCGTCCATCATCACTCCTTCCCACAGTCAGCTCTTCCTTGTATAATCCTTTCCCATACTCTTCTATTCGTTTGAGATAATGTATTCCACGTGCTTTGATGACTACAGCCAACATATACATGTTCTTTTTTTGTTTCTTCTTCTATTGTCGGCTCATCTCTGCTCACCGACTTCCTTTTATTGCCGCCGATTTTCCTACAGTTTTCCTCTATCCTTTTCGCTTTTGTCCAGGTAAATTGTAATTTTTTTTGCCCTTTCTTCTTTCTATTTTCCCCGTAAACGTCTGCTTTTTAATTTTGATTTTCCGTTGGTTTTTTGGTTATTCGTTTGATGTTCTCCACCGATCCACTCCCTCAAATACATTGATAACTTTAATCCTCTTGATATTTGGCCGGTGGGTTCACCGTATCCGTTCCCGAATCCGTCTTCTGGTCCAGATAACCGTATTTTCCTTTTTTGTGGTTCCTTTTTTCTCCATCCACCGCCATCGACTTTATGTTCGGTTTCCTGCGTCTTCTTCAACCATACCACCGCCATCTTTTTGTCTCCTTTGATGCTTGTCTGGTCTATTCCTACAGACAGTGAACCGACTTATGAATAGTAACTTTTAATTATAGTTATAGATGTTATTATGAATCTATAATTAACATTTATTAGTGATTCCAAGTCTTTGTACAAATTGATCTACTTACGGGAGTGATGTCTAGGATGGATTTAGTGAGGTGTTTAATTTGGGATTTCCAAACAGTATACTCTATATACCAAACAGACCCTACCTCTAATATGATCGTACCTGGTTATTCCTTACTTGATAGATATTAAAGTAGACTTTAGGATTATTGAAGAATCTAAACCCATAGGATAATAGTTCCATGAAGTATGAAATTAGACTAAGACTTAGCGTATATACATCTAGTTCTTTTGGAAAAGGTGTAAGGCGAAGCTCTGCCCGATTCACCAATCATCAGACACTTTGTCAGGTGAGCGCATAGTTATTATTAAGAACATAATCTTCATTTAAAAAGAATTAATACTATCAAGTAATATAAAATGTTTACATGTATTACCTGTGCTATGTGCTATTTGTATAAACATGATAATTGGATTAGAAATTGTGTTGGGAATCGATTGCCTTTAGTTATAAATCTCGCCTTAGGTTTAAGAATAAGACTTGTAAGGGTTGCTTAGTTCATATTAAGCTTGACATAGAATAGGTCTCATGACTTGGGTAAAGTGTGTGAGATCAGAGTGGAGTG